GAAGTCGGCTTTTCCGGGGCCTCGTCCACCAGGCACGGATCCGCAGGCGCGCCCCGTCTCGTGGGCTGCGGCTGGCGCCCGGGGCGGCTGGCGGCCCGGCTTTGCCAATCGATGAAGGAGCGAGTCGGCAGGGGCGGGGGGGCGAAGGCTCGAGACAGGAGGGTTGCCTAAGCGAGTGCAAAGTCGTAGTGTTCAAGGGTCCTGAGGCCCGCGACGGAGGAGTGGAACTCGTGCAGGATCCTGCGGGAGGTGCGCATGATTCAGGAGGAAAAAAACACAGGCACAATGAATCGTCGATCCCCAGGAAGATAGGGGAAAATATGGGAAGTGGGGGGGAGACAAAAGCCCAGAAATGATTGGAAGATATGGGGAACCCTTTTATTTGTGTGTATTTATTTGTGTGTCTCAGGGCCCCTTCAATGATGGCCGTCGTCTTGGACCGTCTGGCGCTGGGCAGAAGCCAGGCACCGGACGTCTGCGCCCGGAAGTCGAAGGCCCTGGAGCGCGCCTCGGCGACGGTTGCTGAGGATAGGGCCCAGCACCTCTAAGTCGTCGACGCCGAGGGACCGACCCTGATCGACAAAGTGGAGGAGCACATGCAGCTCGACCAGCGGATCCGCGGGGAGGGGGTCGAGAGGGCCCAGGACCAGACTCACGAGCCCTCGCGGAGGCCGCTCGACGACGACGAGGTCAAGGGCAAGGACCAACCACAGCAACTACAAGGGCAGGACGGACAAGGTGACCCGAAGTCCCTGAGCGTGCAAAAGTTTACGCGGTCGGAGGGTGGCTCCTTCTCAACTGTGTGCTTTCGATGTTTTAGATTCCGAAGAGTGCATGGCCATAACTTCTGCAGCGGAGAATGAGATCAATCCCACGGAGGAAGGGCAGGTCCTGTTCAAAACGGGGCTGGCATGTGTTTTTGTTCAACGTCTTATCGTACTGCATGCTTGCGCTCGTTTCTGGTGGGCTTGCCGGATGGAGGGTGGCAGGACCATCCTGGGTCTGACCGCGGGCACGGCTAGTGCGTCAGGGCGGCGCGGAGGTTTTGGCTTTTCTTCCGTCGTAAGCCTTCCTTCGGGAAGGCTTCGTGGCTCTTCGTGGGAGGCTTGGGTGAGCGGTTCTGGCGTTCATTGCTCGCTATCCCTTGAGGCGCTTGCGGTGTTCACGGTGGCTGCTGTTCAATCTCCCCGCGAGTTAGGGCGTTTTCGGCAGCGGTTTGCAGCTCGCAGAACTGCACTTGCAGCTCCCCTCACTGGGGGGGTCCGCGCCACTCGCTCCTCGGGCGCGCCGCCCGCTTCATCCGCCGCGTGCGGTGGAGCTGCCAGTCCATCGTCGCTACGCCGGGGCCTCTTGCCGATCAGCCCTTACCTCGCCGAGGAGCGCCTGGCAAGCCTCGCTGTCGCTACGTTCGAGCGCCAGGTGGCTGCAGACCCTTCGCTGCCCCGGGCCCAGTTCCTGCGCGGCGCGCTCGCCCTCGGCGCTCAGAGCCCCATGGCCTGCCCTGGCTGGGCGAATGCCCTTGTTCACGTATTCGTTTGCACGGGGCCCTGCAGCCGGCCCAGGCCGTTGTTGCGGAGCGCGTCGTGGATCCGGTGGCGCAGATGATGGACTTCCCGAGCTTCGACGCCAGCTGTGGATCCGCCCAGGAGCGCCACCTCAGCAAGAGAGTCGGGTACGGCGGCGAGGTCGCGTCTAAGAGACCCCGCCGGCCAGATGAGCACTCGCGCCTCCTTCCAGTGGTCGACTTCGCGCGCGAAGAGCTGCAGGAGGGCCCTTCGGGCCCGGCGGCGGCGCCCGCCCCCGGCTCCGGAGCGGCCCGGCATCCCCCCCTCGGTCGAAGGCCCGAGCTTCGGACGCGGAGCAGCATGCGCTGGTTGCGGCCGGGGCGGCGCGGAAGATCTTCGGACGAGTGCCAGAAGCGGGCATCTTCCGCAACCGGCGCGGCGAGTCGGCGCTCGACGGGGCGATGAATATTGACAAGCTTGACGCGATACACGGAGGATAGCGATGAAGTGGGGGCCGACTGCCCCTTCTTCTGCCGGAGGACGGCGAGACTCTGAGCATCGACGCCGGGGGCATGCAGAGTTGTTTTAACCTCTTCTTCCAGGCTATTTCGCTTTCGAGACGCAGGTTGCGGCATCGGCCCCCGAGAAAGCCCCCGACGAGGTGGCCCACGCGACGATGCGGTCGGCGCCGATGGGTTGGATTGGGGCGGCGGCCGCGATGTAGCGCATGGATCGACGGTTTGTTTTCGGCCTTGCCGGGGTCGACCCGGCAACGGAGCTTCGGGGGGGCGCGGCGGCGCCGACGTGTCCGCGGTCTGCGCGGACGGGTTCGACTTCGCGCGGAATTTCTGCGACGCCGAGGCGGCAGCTTCCATGGGTTCGGAGGAGCGCGCGAGGTTCGTCGAGGATTGCGGCAAGCTGAAGCTCCCCTTCGGCGTCGGCAAGCGGGTCGCGAGCGGGGTCTCAGGCCACGCGTGGGGGGGCGAGCTGGGTGGCGCCCCGGGTGCCTTGTCAGTGGTGCGTGAACCTTTGCATCGTTTGATCGTCAAGTCGTTGGCTCTACTCCACCTCTGGCCTGCGCCACAGGCCCCCTTGCAACATTGGGTTGGCATATCTTGTTTCGCCACGAATTCCCAGCGGGCCGCGCGTCCGGTCTTGCAGGAGATCTGCGCGAGCATCGTCGCTGCTTGGCCCAGGGCGCTGCCGAGAAATTATTTGCGCGGGGCGATTATCGACGAGGTCGTCTGCGGCGCCAGGGTCTTCGCCATTCCGCCGCGCCTCGCTGCGCGCGGGGGCCCAGCGAATCGCCAGCTCCAGCGACGCCTCCGAGTCAGGAGGGGGCGCTTCGGAGGCCCGCTCCCTCCTGCAGTCGTTCGACGCGGGCGGGCCCGCCCTTCTCTCCGCCCGGGCCGCGGACCTGACCGAGGAGAATCGCCGGCGTGTTGCCGCGCCGCTAGCGCGCGCGGGGTGCGGGGCCTGCTGCGCCCTTGCGCCGTTGCCGGCCGCCCCAGGGCGCGCGGCGATCGTTGGAAGCGACGGCGACGACGATCGCGGGCGCGCTGGCCCGTCCGCTCTGTCCCTGCGCGCCAGCCCATCCGTCGCCGGCGCCCCGCCCTCTGTTCGGTCGCGCTGCGTTCATCGGCGCGCTTGCGCCGGCGCCTCGGCGTCGACCGAGCGCGCCGTCGGGCTACTGCTTCTCGCCCCCCGCCGCGGTCATGCAAAGGGCGCTCCCCGCGAAGAGAGGCAGAGCGCAGGGCGTCGAGCGCGCCGGCCTCCGGATCGCGGATCCTGCGCAGGAGCCCTCGGCAATTCTTCGTGCGTGGCTGTTCGCGGTGGCGCGGCCCAGGCGCGAGCGCGGCGGGCGCGGCGGTCCTGGGCCCTGGCTATTCAGGAAGCCCCGGGCCCTCCGCGAGGCCGTCACCGATTCAAGACGCTCCGCCTGCGATGGCACGGCTTGCGTCGTCGCGCACCCGGCGGGCAGTCGGCAACGGTCTCTTGATGCCTGACGTGTGCCACGGTTTGCAGTCGTCTGGGGTCTCCCGCGCCCAGGTCCGCCACGCGTGCTTCGGGGCCTGCGAGAACGGGGCTTTGCGCGCGTCGCGCAACGGCTTTGCGGTCGGCGATTTCTGCGCGGGTGCGGCGCGCAGATGTGGCGACCCGGAGCTTGAAGGTTCAGTTCGGGGGGGAGGGCCGTTTCCTTTCTTGGAGCCACGGGCGAAAGGACCCCAGGTCGAAACACACGATCTGGGCTCACGGGTGTAAGTAACCTGGGCAAGGGCACACGGCTTGCGCTCACGGGCGACAGGAACCCATGTAATAACACGCGCCGTGTTGGTTCAAGGCTGAGAGGAACCCATGTAACATATAAAAACATGGCTTTGAAACATTTGCTGACGCCGCACCGCCGACCTCTTGGGGCGGCAGCGCGAGTGAAAAACGGAGCTTGCGGAGCGCGTGCGATGTCTGGATAATCTCGGGGTTTCGCTTCTTGGGATTTCGCCGCGGGCGGTTGGCGGATCGCGGCTCTGCTCTTGGGCTGCTCTGGGCTCTCCTGGCAGCACTTTTTAGGCCTCTTGGGAGCCGTGTTGAGGCCTCTAGGGGCCTCTTTTGGGGCCTCTCGGGGGCCTCGTGGGCGCCCTCGGAGGGCCTCTTGGCGCCTCCTCGGTTTTTTTTTTCGTGGCCGAGTGCTCGAACTGTCCATTCGGATTCCCCCTCTGGGCCTCCTCTTGGGGCCGTCCTGGGGCCCTCCTGGGCCGTTTTGGAAGCTTCTGGGGCCGTCTTGGGGCCCTCTTGGGCCTTCTTGAAGCCCTCTTGGGGGCCTCTTGGGCTATCTTGGGTCGATCTTGAAGGCTTCTTGGGCCGTTGTGGGCCTCGTGAAAGCCCACGTAGCGAATGTGTTAAACATATGCGCTTTCCTCGGGGAATGTGACGACTTTTGCTTCTGGAGGGCCTCTTGGGATGCCTCTTGGTGGCTTCTTGGAGCGTCTTGGGGGCTTCTGGGACCGTCTGGAGGCAATCTTGGGCGTCTTGGAGCGATCTTTCGGCGACGCGTGGCCCTCTTGGACCGTCATGGGGGCCTTTTGGGGCCCTCTTGGCCCGTTCTGGGGCTCCCTGAGGCTCCGAGGGTGCGGCCGGCTCCTTTTCCCCCTACCCCTCCCCTTAACCCTCCAAAGTGGCCGGACCGGGCTCCCGGGGGAGGGGTTTGGGGATCCCCATCTCGCACGTCTTGACCCCAAGGGGTCGGCGGATTTACGGGCGCAGGGTACCAATGTAAAAGCACATGGTGCCAGCTCCCGGGCGAGATCAACCCATGTACGAACAAATGGGCTGCGTTCACGAGCGAAAGGAGCCCGAGCACATGCGATGTTGGCTCCAGTGCGAAAGGATCCCACACACAAGAATATGATATGAGTTCACGGGCGAGAGGAGCGCATGTACAACGCGAGTGGTTCTGGATCACGGGCCGAAGGAGCCAATGCGAAACACACGTGGTTTCGGTCCAGTGGCGGAGGGAACTGATGTACAAACAGGCGCTTCGCTCGAGACATCTTGAATAAGCTATGATTTTAGACATCCGCCTGGAAGACCTTGACACCTGAGGCGACAAAAACCAATCTATTTTCACGTTGGTCCCGATAGGGGGGCGCTAGGAACCCATGTGCTTTCCTTCTTGTCCCGCTTGGGGACGTTAGGAACCCATGTGTCTTCACGCTTGTCCCGCTCTGGGGCGTCAGGGGCCCACGTGGTTTCATGGACGCCCCGCTCTGGGGCGTTCGGGATCCATCTGTTTTCAGGCTTGTCCCGCTTATGGGGCGTCAGAAGCCCACGTGGTTCCACGCTCCCGGGGGAGTTAGGAACCCACGTGGTGCCCCGCTTCTTCCGCCCTGGAGCGTTGAGAACCCATGTGTTTTCAAGTTTCCAGGCCACCCCAGGGACGGATAACTGACATGTGGTCGTGGGCCCATTGGTGGCCTGGGCACGTAAAAACACGCGGCTCCAACTCGGGACAATTACGGCAAATACCCCCAGCCTCCTCACGGACGGGGCTTCCGCACGATGACAGCCTCAAACGCTCCCAAACAAGCGTTTCGCCTGAGACATCCACAGCAAATTATACAAGACGAGCGTTTCGCTTTGGACATCTTCTGCATTTCAATTCGCTGGTTCTCTTCGACTCCGTGATTGGTCGCAAAAAGACCCGCCGGCCTTCTTCAAGTCGAAGCCCGGTTGTTCATCTATCCCACGGGAGTCGAGGGCCCAAGTTCTACCCCACGCTGGGGCAAGAGCGCTTTTCTGAACAACGGCAGCAAACCGCCGATTTGCAAATGATGCCCACGCTTCAGCGGGAGCAACATCTTGAAACACTGAAAACAGAATTGCCACAGTTTGCTTGTAAGCGCGGAGAGAACCAGCCATTTCCTCGACGTGTCAGGGAAGGGAGGAGCGTCGCTTCCGTCATGTGCAACTGTGAAGGAGGAGGGGGAGGAGGAGGAAGAAGAGAAAAACGAGGTGTTCCCCGTCCCTCCTGTGTCCTCTGTCATCCTCTCTCCTCCTTTTCTCTATCCTCCTCCTCCTCCTCCTCCTCCTCCTCCTCCTCCTCCTCCTCGCCCTCCTCCTCCTCCCATTCCCCCTCCTCCTCCTCCTCCTCCTCCTCCTCCTCCTCCTTCTCCTCCTCCTCCTCCCTCCTCCTCCCCTGTCCTCCCAGGCTGAGCGGGAAATCCGTTCAGATTCACAGGAGGACGCCCCTCTCGGGCAGGCGTGGTCTCGTCGTGCCCGCCGTGCGGCCGCTGCCGCGCGGGCCTCGCCACCCGTCGGGGTCAAGGTCGGAGCCCCCTGCCCGCCCCCCCCTCCTCGGAGAGGAGAGGCGAGGCGGCGCAGCGGCGCGCGGAGGTGCTCTGCTGCAGCCAGTTCAGCATCGGCTGCCCCAACGGCAGCCGCGGCGAGGGCCCGCCCTTCGACTGCGACCTCCACGCCGCCGACCCGACCAGGCTGTGGTCGCCGGCAAAGAAGGCCGGAGCGCCGGCGGGAGTCGCCGTGGTCAGTCACCGAGCGCGCTCCGCTACTCGCAAAGTGCCTGCTCGCAAGTGTCAGACCAGTATTTGGCTGCGTCGATGTAACAGATCGTAAATCCCCCGCGGCGGATCGAGGCCATTTGCGGCAGTTACTCTGCGAGACGTGGCACGCGCTTGTCTAGTCAGGCGGGCGGTAATGGGGGGTGACTTACATTGGGGTGAAGAAAAGAACCCTAAAAGGGCCTTTAAGGAGCCCTTTTGGATTTTTTCTGGCTCTCAGAGGGGCCCTAGAGGGCCCCTTCAGAGCTCTTGTCTTCACCCCCCAATTTAGGCCTCCCCCCACTGCCACGCGCCCGACATGGAGGAGGAGTCCCGAGGGAGAGGAGGGACAGAACAGTTGCCATGTGAAGGGGGGAGAGGGGGTTCAGGGTTCGAGGCTCGAGGTTTTCAGACCGTGCCGTCGGTTCTCCAGCCTCGGAGTGCTCTCTGGCAGCTGCGCCTCGCCGCAGGCGTGCCGTGGTGCCCGGATCGTCCCGTCCGCAGGAGCCCCGAGCCATGACCCGACAGTCTCGGGGGAGCGGCAGAGGTCGCCCCCTGGTCGGCCGACAGAGAGGACTCGCGCCATCGGAAAGCTGCGATCGTTCGCGGCGGAGCGCTGCGCGCGCCGTGTGAGAGGAATGCCGCGCAGAGGCCGCCGGGGCACGAGGGGGCGCCGGGAAGGCCAGCGGCGCCACGGGCAACGCCTGGCCCTGTTCCCTCCCTCCCTCCTCCCTCCTCCTCCCTCCTCCTCCCTCCTCCCTCCTCCTCCCTCCTCCTCCTCCTCCTCCTCCTCCTCCTCCTCCCTCCTCCCTCCTCCTCCTCCTCCTCCCTCCTCTCCTCCTCCTCCTCCTCCCTCCTCCTCCTCCGCCTCCTCCCTCCCTCCTCCCCCTCCCTCCTCTCTCCTCCCTCCCTCCCTCCCTCCCTCCCTCCCTCTCTCCTCCTCCTCCCTCCCTCCTCCTCCCTCCCTCCCTCCCTCCTCCTCTCCGCCTCCTCCTCCTCCTCCTCCTCCTCCTCCTCCTCCTCCTCCTCCCGCAAAAAGAAGAAGCTCCCGCCCGCCCCGCGCACGCCCTGCATGCCGTGGCCGCCAGGGGCCAGGGGCCACGGTGCTCCCTGGGCATCCCGCTGAGGGAAGCAGGTCCGAGAGGTGTTTGCCAAGGTTTTCGTGTTCCCAGGGCCCTCCGGACCCTGGGGGCGGGCCAAGGGCGGCTGGGGATGAGGAGCTGGTCCTGGGGAGATTCCCCAGGGTCCAGGACCTGTTTCCTTCAGGGCCCGCTTCCCTGGCAGCAGGAGAAGGAGGAAGGAGCGAGGAGGAGGACAAGGAGGAGGAGGACGAGGACGAGGACGAGGACGAGGACTTGGAGGCGGCGGAGGGGGAAAGGATCAGGAGGATGAGAAGGAGGGGAAGGGGGAGGATGGTAATAACGAGGGTGAGGATGATGATGATGATGATGATGATGATGATGATGATGATGATGATGATGATGATGATGATGATGATGATGATGATGATGATGGTGATGGTGATGGTGGTGTTTATGATGATGTCGGTGGTGATGGTGATGGTGATGGATGTGACGGTGGTGGTGTCGACCATTCTAATGATGGCGATGATGGTGATGGTGATGATGACTATGGTGATGATGATGGTGATGGTGGTGGTGGCGGCGATGGTGATAGCGATGGTGATGTTGCTTGTAATGGGGATGGTGACGGCGATGGTGACGGTGGTGGTGGTGATGATGTTAATGTTGATGATGACCGTGTAAATGATGATTGTGCTGATGATGATGGTGATGGTGACGATGATGGTTGTGGTGTGATGCTCATGAATATAACGATGACGAGTGTGATGGTGATGTCGATGGTGGTGTTGGTGGTGATGGTGATGGTGACGGTGATGGTGACCGCGATGGTGACCGCGGTGGTGGTGGTGACGCTGGTAATGATAGTGATGATGACGGCGACGATGATGATATGATAATGATGATGTTGATGGTGTTGATGATGATGATGCTGCTGATCATGATGCTGCTGCTGATGATGATGGTGATGGAGGTGGTGCTGATGATGATTACAAGGCTGCACCTGAACGATGTTTTGCTCTGAGTGATGAGTGTTTGGTTGTTTTGTTTTTCTCTTGTTCCTTCTAAACGAGTTGTGTGCTTCTTCCTGAACGAGTTCTCAAAACGATGATGACCGCTTGTCTAGGCCACTTGTGGCGCCGGTCCGAGGCAGTCCGTCCTCCCGTGCGCCCGCTCCCGCCCGAGGGAGGCAGGAGGCCCTCCCTGCACCCCCGAGACTCTGCACGGCAGCGTGGTGCAGGCGCGGAGGTGGGATGGCGGGAGGGCGGGTGAGGTAGATCGAGCAGTGGGGAAGCGTCCTGCCTCGCCTACAGCCCTACCAAACAATGTTCTAAGAAGCTTTTGTGGTTTCCACGACATGTTCTTAGAACATTTCTGGCGGAGTCTGTCTTGTTTTATCACGTCGGGCTTATGTTCTAAGAACATTGTCTTTGTTCTTAGAACATGTTCGGGTTCTACGTGGTAGGACTATAGGAATGCCGGGACGGTCGGTCCCTGCTTAAGTAGAGGAGACTCTTCGCCCCCCGCTGCGCCACACCTCCGCTACTTCACTACATATTCTTGGAGATGAGAGCGTATCAATTTTTCAGACAGCTCGCTCTCACATGTGCGCGTGTCCAGCGACCTGTGTCTCCCGAGCCCTCGATGCCCGCCCTCTTCGTCTCTGGTCGTATCCTCTTTGGCGGGGATATCTTCCTTCCCTTCCACGCGTACTTGGCGCAGCCCCTACAACATGGAAGAGGGAGAGAGCGAGGAGGAAGGGAGCGGGGGAAAGGAGGAAGGATGGAAGGGGGGCAAAAGGGAAGCAGAGATGGAGGACGAGGGGGATCGGCAAGAGGGCTTCGCGAGAGGGGTTGGCAAGGAAGTCTCAGGCGAGAACACGGTTCCTGAGTAAACCATGAGAAAAAACCGGGCGAGCGCGAATACGGAGCGCCGACGGAGCGATTCGTTAATGCATTGTAAGGACGTCTCGGTGGATAGGTCGCAGGGAAGTGTCAGAAGGAGCCGCTGATGTATTGCAGTGCGGGGGCGATCGCTCCAATCCGAGGCGCAACAGTTTCCCCTGTGAATCACCGGGTGCGAGCCCCGCGAGCCAGTGACACGTCGATTAGTGAATTGTCCATTTTCGGTTCTCGAGAGGGCGCCGTGGCCGTTATTTTCCAGGCTCGCGCCCGCCAGGTTTGGGCCTCAGGTCGTTTTCACTAAACCACGTTTTACTAAAGGGGGGTCTGTCCATCCCCGATACTTGTTCTGTAAAGGAAACAAGTCAGCACACAACAACAAACACGTTAATACGGTTCGTTATGTTCTGCTCGCGTGCCGTTCAACGCGTATGTGCCAAACCCTTGGTACTTGCCTTCTTCGTCTTCGATCATGCCCCTTGCCTGGGGGTCAGATCTTTCCTACCAGCGCGTGTAGTTTTCGCAGCCCCGAACACAGGAGAGGGAGTGGAGGAGTGAAGAGGCAAGGGGAAGGAAGAAGGATGGAGCATGAGAGAAATTCTAGACGCTTCGCATAACCCCACCAGCCCATCCAGAAACGATGCCCAGAGGAAGTGCCTCGATCAGGGAAGTGGGCAGCACGCAGAGGAAGGGTCCCCCAGTGGAGGCCTCTTGGAGCGTCTTGGGGGCCTCTTGGCGGTCCCAGACGCCTCTTAGAGCGTCTTGTGTGCCTCGGAGAGCTTCTTGGGGCCTCTTGGGGGTCTCTTGGGGGCCTCTTGGAGGCCTCTGGGGCGCCCGTTTGGGCCTCCCGGGGCCTCCTCGGCGCCTCTTGGGGCCCTCTTGAAGCGCTCTTGGGAACCTTGGGAGCGCTCTTGGAGCCCTCTTGGGCCACCTTGGAGTCATCGTGAAGCCTCGGATGGCCATCGGAAGCGAAAAGGCGAGAAAGCCCAAAACATTGTTTTCCCTTAGGTTTTGGAAGGATTGTGGCCTCTTCGGGGCCTCCTGGGGGAGCTCTTGGGCCACTTGGAGCCTTCTTGAAGCGGTCTTGGGGCCTCTTGGAGCATTGTGGGAGCCATCTTGAGGCATCTTGGGGTATCTTGAGCCATCTTGGAGGTCATCTTGGGCTCTCCCAGGCGCTTTTGGAGTCATCTGAAGCAGTGCCCCCCAGGAGGCCTAAATGTGGCCAAAACCGTAGTAAAATCAATGATTGGGACAGTCTCGCCGAGGCCTCTCGGAGCGTCTTGGGTGCCTCTGGGGGGCCTCTGGGGGCCTCTTGGGGGTCGCTTGGGAGCCTCTTGAGGGCATCCTGGGGGCCTCTTGGGGGCTTCTTGGGACCACATGGGGCCATCTTGGGGCCATCTCGGGGCCTCTTGGGGCCTCCTGGGCGCCTCATAGGGGCCATTTTGGAGGAGATCGATCACAGGAGCGGGGGGCTAAATTAACCCCCCCCCCTCAGGAGGCCAAAATGGGGCCAAAACCTTTGTAAAACCAATGATTTGGGCTTCCTCGCCGAGGCTGTTTTGGACGCTCCAACGCATCGCGGACCCCCCCGTCGAGGTCCAGTGGAGGGGGTGGGGGGAGGGGTCAAGACTCCCTCCCCGCCCGCAAGCCGTCTCGCTCACTCCCCCCCGCCCTCCCAACACATACGTAGCACCCGAGTCTGGCCCGAGCCTCAGCATATTCAGCAGTCGTCTTTGGATGGGCAGCTACTGGGGGCCAATCCGCCGCCGCCAGCGCCGCCGCCGCCTCCGCCAGCGCCGCCGCAGCCGCCGCCGCAGCCGCCGCCGCCGCCGCCGCCGCCGCCCCCGCTGCCAAATCGCCGCCGCCGCAGCCGCTGCCGCCGCAGCTGCTGCCGCCACCGACACCGCCGCCACCGCCGCCGCCGCAGCCTCCGCCGCCGCCGCCCCCGCCGCCGCCACCGCCGCCGCCGCCGCAGCCGCCGCAGCCGCCGCCGCCGCCGCCGCCACAGCTGCTGCCGCCGCCGCCGCCGCCAAGTGTACTCTGTATTGTTTTGTTGGCAGGGATGGTGGGGGGAGGCCGCATCGGGTTGGTTGCGCATGCTCCGAATTTGGAGGCAGAGTGTGCCTTGTAGAGTTTTTACCAGGGATGGTGGGGGGGGCCCTCATGGCTTCTGGTTGGCTATCAGTCGCCTGGGGGAGGGGGTGTCTACTAATAGGGAACAGTGGTAAACCACTCCCCGAGGAAACTCCCTAAACCACCTACGTCCATAGGGCTGGTGGGATTTGCAGGGGGAGTGTTAGGAGCAACGACACAAGCGGCAAAACCAGCTTGGCGCGTCGGGTGGGCGGACCCTAACGGCGGACAGGTCGGGAGGGCGGGTCCAGACGGGCAGGTCGAGCGGGCGGTTCGCTAAACCGTCAACCCATCATGCTATAAGTTTCGAGTGACAACGCAATTCCCAAGCAAATCTCTAGGACATCTAAAGCGAGAGTCTGATTTGTCACTTTTAGGGCACGGCGTCGCAATACATTGTGAGGGCGCCGCGCGCGAGAAGTGCGATTCTTGCATACATTATGAGGAAATCCCGCGCGAGAGCGCGAGTTTAAACTACACTGTTGGACAGTATCAGGAGAGAGCCGCTGTTTTTGTAAACTGATGGCCAGGGGCGCAGTTTGGTGGCTGCTGACTTTCTCTACTAAGGATCCGGGTGCGAGCCTCGGGAGGAGCATTTTTAATTGAAGCATGCAATGGTCACCAGTGCCTTCTTTAGAAAGGAAGAATCATCAGCAACAGCAGCAGCAACAGCAGCAGCAGCAGTAGCACAACTGCAACAACAACACCAGTAATAGCACAAACAACAACAATCATGTTCAGACTGTTGGCTTTTACCTGTTATCGTGCCAGTCAACGCGTATATATCCTAAGCCCTCGGTGCCAGTCTTCTTCGCCTTCGATCGTACGAGGGGGTGCATCGTCTTGCCGCGTGTGATTTCTGACTTTGCACGGGATTAGCAGGAGAGGGGGGCTAGGAACAAAAAACATTTCGCAGAAACAAACGGGTTGATCGGGCGGAAAGATCCAGACGGGCGGGTCGGGAAGGCGGGCCCAAGCGGGCAGGTCGAGCAGGCGGGTTGCTGAAGCGTGGGTGCTGCATGAATCGCGAAGAGGTTTCGAGCGATAACGCGATTCCCAAGTGAATCGCGCGAGAAACCAGAGCGGTATCGCGATTCCTGAGCATCGAGGGCGCGGCGTTTGAATCTATTGCAGGGAAGTCCCGCACTGGAAGCGCGATTCCTGCATACATTGAGGAAGTCCCGCGCGAGAGCTCGATTTTCCCAAGACATAGTGAGAAAGCATCAGACAGGAACCGTTGTTGTTGTTGCTGTTGTTATTGCTGGTGTTGATGTTGTTGTTGGTGTTGGTGTTGTTGTTGTCGTCGTTGTTGTTGTTGTTGTTGTTGTTGTTGTTGTTGTTGTTGTTGGTGTTGTTGTTGTTGTTGTTGCTGCTATTGTTGTTGTTGTTGTGTTTGCCGTTGTTGGTGTGATTGTTGCTGTTGTTGTTGGTGTTGTTGTCGTAGTTTCTGGTGGTGTTGTTGTTGTTGCTGGTGGTGTTGTTGGTGGTGTTGGTGTTGTGTTTGTTGTTATTGCTGTTGTTGTTGTTGTCGTAGTATTTCGAGACCCACCAACGCAGTTTGGTGACCCCCCACCTTTCCTTGAGGTGCGAGTCCCGAGAGGAGCACTTTGATCGAGAAATACCATGGCCACCAGGCAGGGGGATCAACAATGATTATTTCTTAGAAATGAAGATCCAACAGCAACATCAACAGTCAGTTTAAGACTGTTCGCTCTTACCTGCTCGCGAGCCACTCATCACGTACATCCCGAACCCTCGATACCCGCCCTCTTCATCTTCGATCGTACCCCCTTGGGGGTACATTTCCCTTGCCTGCCACGTGATACTTGGCGCGGCCGCTAAAACAGGGAAAGGAATGGAGGAGGGAAGAGACAAGGGGAAGGAAGAAGGATGGAGCACGAGAGAGATTGTCAGTAGGGGGATGATGAGCAGGAAAACAAGCGGCATAACCAGACGGGCGGGTCGGGCAGGCGGACCCTTATGGGAGGGTCAGGCGGGCGGGCCCACGCGGCAAGGTCGAGCGGGCGGGTCGCTGAAGAATCAGTCTTGCACGCATCGCGAGGAAGTTTCGAGCGATAGCGCGATTCGCAAGTAAATTGTTAGGAAGTCCACAGCGAGAGTATGATTTTTGAGTGTCGATGGCGCGGCCTTCCAATAGGTCCGAAGGAAGTTCCACGCGAAAGAGTGATTCCTGCACAAATTTTGAGGAAGTGTCCCGCGAGAGCGCGATTCTGATTAAATTCGTGAGGCAGTATCAGGCGGGAGCCGTTCAGTTCGGGGGCCACGGGCACAATCTGAGGCGCAATAGTGTCCATCGTGAAAAACCGGATGCGAGTCCCGGAAGGGGCATTTCAATTGAAGCAAACACAAAGGGCACCGGAGGGGGATCAACAATCATCTTGGCGAAATGAGAACTCAACACCAACAAACAACAAACAAGCAGAATCAGGACCACTGAATCCCACTTCAGCCACGCATCCAGGGACAATTAATGAAACCACCCGTTCCCCGACCCACCAGCCAGCAGTGCGACCCCACCGGTGGAGGAGGAGGAGGAGAATGAGGAGGAAGAAGAAGAAGAGGAGGATAGAGGCGGAAGGACAGGGAAAGGAGGACGAGGATGAGGATTTTTCGTAAGAGGAGGAGGAGGAAGAGGGGGAGGAGAATTAGCGGCAGAAAGGGGGGGAGGAGGAGGATTGGGAAAACGCGGGTCGCAGACGCAGATATGAGGAGGAGGAAGAGGAGGAAGAGTTGGAGGAGGAGGAGCAGCAGCAGCAGCAGCAAGAATCAGGCCATCTACTGGGCCGATGTCCCCAGGTCGCTCTTGACAAGCACATTTTGCCTCGAGCCCATCGTTCATGCAAACGTTGTCGATATCACACCAGGGAGCTTTTACCTAGTAGATTTGTTGTGGGCTGGCTTGTCGAAACCTTCAATTACAGGAGAATGATGAAGCGGTGGAGCAGGAAGAGGAGGCGGAGAATGAGGACGAGGGTGAGGGTAAGAATGAAGGTGCGGGTGAGGATGAGGATAATGATGGTGATGATAATGATGATGCTGATGATGATGATGATGATGATGATGATGATGATGGTGATGATGATGATGATGATGATGATGATGGTGATGGTGGTGGTAATGGTGGTAATGGTGATGATGGTGATGATGTTGATGATGCTGGTGATGATGATGATGGAGATGATGATGGTGCTGATGATGATACTGATGGCGATGGCGATGACGAAGACGACAACGGTAACGACGATCGTGATGATGCTGATGATGATGATGTTGATGATGCTTATGATGATGGAGAAGATGATGCTGGTGATTATGATGATGATGGCGATGACGACAGATGACGACGACGATGATGATGACGACAACGATGATGACGCCAACGATGATGACGATGATGATATTGACGATGACGATGACGATGACGATGATGATGATGATGGTGGTGATGCTGATGATGATGGTGGTGGTGATGGTGATGATGATGATGGTGGTGGTGATGATGATAATGATGATGGGGACGATGATGATGACGATGACGATGACGATGACGATGACGATGCCGACGACGATGGCGACGGTGATGATGAGGATGATCATGAATGATGATGATGATGATGATGATGATGATGATGATGATGATGATGATGATGGTGACGATGGTGATGATGATGATAATGATGATGCTGATAATGATGATGAAGATGATGATGATGACGATGATGATGATGATGACGATGATGATGATGATGATGATGATGGTGATGGTGATGGTGATGGTGATGGTGATGGTGGTGGTGGTGGTGATGGTGATGGTGATGGTGATGGTGATGGTGATGGTGATGGTGATGATGATGATGATGATGATGATGATGATGATGATGATGAGGATGAGGATGATAGTCATACTGATGCTGCTGCTGCTGCTGAGGAGGAGGAGGAGGAGGAGGATCAAGAGTAGAATGTGGAGGAGGCCGGGAGGATTAGAACGAGGAGGGGACGGGGCAGGGGGACGGGGTGGATGAAGAGCTTTTGCGGGGGAGGAGGAGGATAAGGAGAAGGAGCGGGGAGGGGGTAGGAGGGAGGATACAGGAGAATGGCGAAGGAGGATGAGGGCGTGCGAAAATGGAGGAGGACCCCCCCTCCTCGTGAAGGAGTGGTGCTGCTTGCACGTCGGCCGCGCGTGCGCCGGCGACGCAGCAGTGGCAGCACCTGCCGAGGCAAGCTGCGACCTGGCGGGGGGCGCAAGCCCCTCCGAGTGGCCTGCAGGCTGGCCGGCACCACGGCGGCGACGCCTGGCGGCGGCGGCGACGACGGCGGCGGCAGTGATGGCGCCAGTCTGGCGACGACGGCGTGGCGATGGCGCCAAGGCGAGGCGACCCCTGCAAGCGGCGATGGCGGACTCCGATGGCGCGCAGGGGGAGAGTGAGGCGGGAGGGGAGGGGGGGAGGGTGGGGAGCGGGGAAGGCAGGAGGAGGACAGGGGGAGGGGGGGGGGGCGGAAGGAAGAGGGGAGAGGAGGAGGGGGGAGGCGGAGGGGGAACGGGATGTCGGAGGGGGAGGGGGTGGGGCGGGGATGCGTGGGGCAGGGGCGACGAGAGGGAGCAGCTCCTCTGCTCGTGCGTCTGCGGGGCCGGCTTCGCCACTCCCGGATGGGTGGGTGGGCGGAGGGGAGAAGGGGCAGTGGGGAATACAGTCGGGGCGCTGAAGAAGGAGCCTTTTTCGTTGGGGAGGGGCTCCGTGTTCCTGGACTGTTTCGCACTGTGCTTTAGCTTGTCCTTAGGTCTTCTTTCGGTGGGAAATCGAAATGCACCTTGTGGAGAACAGGGGCCTCGTTCCTTATCTAGGGCTCCTTAAGGTCAACGCCCCGATTGTAGGGGGAGACAGAGTCGGACGGGGCCAGGACGAGGGTATTCTGTTCCAGAGCGTTCTGGAGCGCTCTCAAGGCGTTCCGGGACGCTCTGAGAAGGCCGCGGCGCCCGAGACATCCTCTACAGCCGCCAGATCTCAGAGATTCTCGATTTATCCTCAGCTGTCTTCCTACTTTTAACTTCGTTGTGTACCCCAGCCGGCGACCCCTGGAGCGATCGCTCCAGGAGTTGCCTGGCTCCTGGTTTGATCATCCCCCGGGCCGCCCAGCCCTGGGGCGGGTGGGTGGGCAACCTCAGTGCGACCCTCATGCCATCGGGTAATCAGGTAATCAGGAGGGGGATGCAAGGAGGAACGGGCCTGGTCTGCGGGTCGAGAGCGGGCCTCTTCTGGTTAAGAGCTAGGCGGGGCGCGCAAAGCACTAATTGGGGAGACTGGGCGCGGGCGGGCGGGGCCTCAGGCGGCTGGAGGGCGCGGTGAACAGGCGGGGCCTTCGGGCACAGGAGGGGGTATTTTCCACCCTGCCCCCCCTCTGGCTAAGACGAAGCCAGGACGAGGAAATAGTCGGGTGACGCAGGGGAGAGAAAGAGAGCAAGGGAGGAACAAATGACAACGAGGGAGGAGGAGAAGGAGGGTGGTGGCGGCGGCGACAGGGGTCCACTCCCACCAGGGTGGAAGGCTCCGGAAACCCTCACCTGCAAGGGTTTGCAGTACCTTGGACTGGAGGCCGGCTAGGGGGGTCCACTGAGCGTGGGAGAGGTTTCGAGCCTTCCGCGGCGGTGGTTTCCCGTGGAGTGTGGCAGTGTAGCGGTGGTTGACGGGATGGGGCAATGGCGTTGGGAGTATGCTTGTACGGTGGGTTGCAGGTGAGGAGCCTCTTGGCCTGTGATCCTCCTTCTCCTGCTCCTTTCAGCACTTCTCCTTCGCCCCCTTTTCATCCTCATCATCTCCCTGCACCTCCGCATGTGGACGAGAGGCCTGCATAGCTACGCGAGGGAATATTAGCGCCCCAGGGTCTTGCATTGTCGTGCTCCTTCACCTTCCTCTCCTTCCTGTACTCCTCCCTTCACACTCATCCTCATCGCCTTGTCCCTATCCATATTCCTCTTCCTCTTTTCCCTATTCCTCTCGTCCCTATTCCTCCCTTTCCTCTCCTCCTCCTCCTCCTCCTCCTCCTCCTCCTCCTCCTCCTCCTCATCATCATCATCATCATCATCATCATCATCATCATCATCGTTTTCCCGCGCTCCTTCTCCTCCTCATCCGCCTCCTCCCTTATCCTTCTCCTACTCCTGCTCGTCGTCCTCACCGCACTCCTCCACCTCCTCCTCCACCTCCTCCTCCTCCTCCTCCTCCTCCTCCTCCTCCTCCTCCGCTTCCTCCTGTTCGCCGTCCTCGTCGTCGTCTTCTCCTTCCCTAGTCCCCCACCTCCTCCCTGCACTCCTCCTCCGCCTCCTACTACTCCTGCTCCTCCACCGCCTCCTGCTCCTCCCGCTCTTCCTCCTCCTCCTCCTCCTCCTCCTCCTCCTCTTCCTCCTCCTCTTCCTCCTCCTCCTCCTCCCTCCTCCTCCTCCTCCTCCTCCTCCTCCTCCTCCTCCTCCTCCTCCTCCTCCTCCTCCTCTCCCCCTGGTCCTCCTCCTCCCTCTCCCCCCCTGGTCCTCCTGATCACCCTTTCTCCTGTCTCCTGCCCGTTGGCCTCCCCACTCCTTCTCGTCCTTCCCCAGACCTCTTCCAGGGTGCGTTCTGGCCAGAATTGTGAGGCGAATCCAGCGGTGGCGACGAGGGCCTCCCAGGTCCTGGGAGGCCCTCGTCGCCACCGCTGGATCCGCCTCCGCTGGGCCTCCTGGGACCTAGGAGGCCCAAGAAGAGGAAAACGAGGGAAGGGAAGGGCAGCGGTATCGGTACCCTTCTCCCGTCTCTTGCCCGTTGACCTCCCCGCTCCTTCTCGCCCTCCCTCGCTTCGCGCTGCTGCCCTCGGTCCCAGGCCGCCGCGAGCACTGCTGCCGTACTGCGGGCGTCGGCTGTGCGAGGGGCGCCGCCGCGGCGGCACCCCGGGCGGCCAAACCCAGAGGGGCAGTGCCGTGCTTTCGTCGACTACACGCAAGAGTGACCTTTCGCCGGAGTGACCTTTGGTGCGGACGCGATGGGGTCCCCCGATCACCGATTGCGATGCGATAGTAGCGTCTTGCGCGCCTGAGTTTGGCCCCCCCGCGGCCCCCCCACAGCCGCGCACCAAAGGTCACTCTTACCCAGGGCCACTCTTGCGTACAGCCGATTTCGGGGGGTTGCAGGTGGGGGGGTTGTCCCAAGTTGGGGAGCGAGCCCAGTTGGATGCCATTCTCTCAGGGGTTCCAGACCGACCCCAAACAAGATTGACTGACGATGTGGCAGAGCTCATCCGCACAACATGTGGAGGAGATCTGCTAAGCCTTGGAGGAGACGTGGAAGACCTGGAGGATGGCTGCGCATTCGCCAGAACAACGAACCTATCCCCAGTGGCTGGCTGAGCGACGCCCCGGCGCCACCTCCCAGCCCCTCGCGCGGCCGCCCGTCTTGGCGAACTGGGAGTCGCCTCGTCGCGCCTCGCCTCGCCTCTCGTCGGGGGGTCGCAGAAGGGGGGGGGCTGTCCCAAGTTGGGGTCAGGGAGCCTGCCCGGCACCCTACCCGCATGTTCTTCCCCCGCGGGCCGCTTTCTCTGGCCCCATCTCTGCCCCTGCCCCCCCTTTTACGCCCCCATGGTTGTCCCAAGGTGGGGTTCGTGAGCGAGCCCAGTTGGATGCTCACATCTCCTTATTCCAAGAGCCGTTCACGGCGATTTCCCTCCAGACCCCGCCTCAGTCCCTCCCGACCCCACCTTTCGGTCCCGCCGACGCTCTCTTTCCGCATGGTTACGTGATCCGCCCGCCCGATCGCGGTCTTTTCCGATCCCGATCCGAGGGCCCGATTTGGTGTGTGGTCTACGGCTCGATGCTTCGGTTCGGTGCGTCTGGGCCCTGCGCGCGCATACACGCACATTCCCCCCGCCGTCGCAATGGGATGTCAGTCGCGAGTCGTCAACTTTCGGGAAACGGAAGTTCGACTGCCAGGACGCTCATGCCAGAGCGCCCAAGTCCCATTGTGCACCCCTGGGGAAGGAAGAGGTAGCACCGAGCAGCACAGAGGTGAGAGAGGGGGGGTCAATCTAGGTGCGCTCGCGCCAAATCTGGCATCATATCCCTCCCGTCGTCCCTTCCAACTGGTTGGACTTTCCTTCATCCGCGGACGCGTGCCGTAGCCGACCTGGAAGTCAAGAAAAGAACCCATCATGTTATGCGCAATCGGAGAAGGGAAACTTTTGAGACCTGTGCGACCTGGGGAACCTCTGTGGCTTGTGGGGCCTGTGAGACCTGCGACACCTGTATCGGGCTGGACGAAAGGGGGGGATTGGGAAAGGGGGGGTACGAAATTTGCTGCATGCAGCTGGTTTCGGCCTCACCGAGGGGCCCACTCCTCGATACATAGCCGCCTCCGGCGCTGGGAGGCGCCGGGAAAATCAGCTACGTGCGCTGACTCTCAACCCCCCCTTTGCTATCCCCCCCTTTCGCCCGATCCGACCTGTAGGACCCGCGGACCTTGCGGGACCTGTGAAACCCGCGGGACCTGTGAGGCCTGCGAGGCCTGTTGGACCCGTGGCGCCAGCGGGGCCTGCGGGGCTTGTGGGGCGACCTGCGACACATGTGGGTCCTGTGGGACCTGCATGGGCTGTGGTGCCTGCGACGCTTGCGAGATCTGCCGGATCCAGAAGAGTGCCCCACGCTGCGGCGGGACCGCCAGTCTAAACGATGGGAGTGCAGCGCCGATGCAACAATGAGGCCCACGCTGCAGCGCAAGCGCCATGCTCGATCATCTGCAAACCGCTGGATGGTCAAACATCATATGTAAAAAAAGCATCTCGCGCAAATCCTAGACGATGGGAGTGCAGAATGTTCAAACATCATATGTAAACAAATCCTAGACGATGGGAGTGCAGCGCCGATGCAAAAATGAGGCCCACGCTGCAGCGCAAGCGCCATGCTTGATCATCTGTAAACCGCCGGATGGTCAAACATCATATGTAAACAAAAAGCATCTCGCGCAAATCCTGCGTGTGCAAAACATGCGGAGGGGTCGAATTTCGAATTCAGTGACGCGGTGGGCAGCGGTTGAGCGCGAGGCGGTGGCCCGTCTGTTCCCGGCCGTCCATGCTGCGGGACCCGAGTTCGATGGGTTTTCCCGGAAGCATTCCAGACCTTGGCGAATCGGGAGCCTTGAGACGGGGGTCAATGCAAACGGGCGTCAGCCAGGGCGCCGGATCTTGCAGGATCCTGCACGGCCAGGGGCGCATTGACCCGGGCTTGGGCGCAGGAGCCTGCAGGGTCTTGCAGGATCCTGCAAGGCCTGAATGACCCGGGTCTGGATTGACCCGGGTTAGAAGATCTCTGAACGAAGCTCTTGCTCGCGGCCTGCTTCCGCGTGGCCTGTACGAAGCCACGAACGAGGGGGGCCTGCAGACGACGCGCTGGGCCCGGGAGCTTCGAAGGGCCATTGCAGAATGGCGATTTCGAGCTCCGAATGGCGGAATGGGATGGTTGGCACCAGAGCTCTGCAATCCTGCACTTGGACGCCGCCGTCTCGCAAAAGGACTTGGGCTGGACTGCGTTTCGGGTGCGGGAGCGCATCGAGGGAGTCGCCGACGCGGAACTCCATGAGGATATTGGATTCATGAGCAATGGTACTTCCAGAATTTCCAAACCTACTAGTTTCACGGCATCGCTGACCATGCAAGACGAAAATCTTGACGAAGAGAAATAGGAGGACCCCAAGGAACTCAACACGAAGGGCCCTGAGGCTCAAGCCCAGACCCAGAGAAGGGCCTGCAACCCGAAGTACCCGGTGAGCCCAGCACTTAGAAGCACGAGCATAATTCTGACAGCCCGTCGGTTCGAGTCATTCCGATTTTGTACAGAAATCAGCCACATGGTACGAAGTGGCCCGAAGGCGGGAAAGAGGACGACAGCCTAAATCCGACGACGTGCTGGGCAGACTGTCTCGCGCGTGGCTTCAGGCTGATGGCCTACCTTCGCTGCGGTTCCACGGGCGGGCACTGCCACCTCCCAGACACAACGCTGGTCTCGAGGGCACTTGGCATCTCAGGAAGAAGGGGCTCTTTGAGCGCATGGGCCGCGAAGTGGCGAAGAAGCAGATCGACCTTGTCGCGGCGGGCATGGTGGCCGAGGTCACGACCAGGATGAAACCAAAGGCGGGAAGTTCTACAGGTCCGAGCACGACGGCGAGCAGGACCGCGGCGCTGGCGTCGTCGGAAGTGGCAGCGTGGGGCACCCATCGCCACGGCGACGGAGGCTTCGAGGGGTTGCCCGATGAAGTGGCAATACCGGAGATCGGCGACGACACGGAGGACTTCGGGGCAAGGGCCGAGCGATTGCAGGATCACCCTTGGTTATGAAGGGTTGACCCGGTAAGTGCATTCGAGCCGGTTCAGTCGTCAACGGGGGGGTGTTAGTGGTGGAGCGTTTCCGCCGTTATTCAACGTTCCAGGGGGGTCAATTTCGATCGGACCCCCCGTCATTTCTCCAAAGTGGGGGGTCTGCCTGCGCGCGATTTGTCTGTTGTCGGCTTCTGCTGCTGCTGCTGCTGCTGCTGCTGCTGCTGCTGCTGCGTGCTGCTGCTGCTGCATGCTGCTGCTGCTTGCGCGGTTCCAAGCGGCCCCCAGAGGCCCCCAAAGGCACCCAAGAGGCACCCAAGAGCGCCCCAAGACGCCCCCAAGAGCGCCCCGAGAGGCCCCCGAGAGAGCCCCAAGATTTTCTGTTTTTTCTGTGACCCCTCTGGGAGCTTTTGGTGGCCGAGGCCTCCAAAGGCTCCCAAGAGGCCCCCAAGAGGCCCTCAAGGGCCCCCAAGAGGCCCCCAAGAGACTTCAAGAGCGGCCCAAGAGGCCTCCAATAGGCCCCCAAGAGCGCCCAAGAGGCCCCCAGGAGGCCCCCAAAATTATTCCAGAAAAAGTAACGGAAATGACACTTTTTAAAGATTTCGGGAGACCCGCCGCTTTCGCCCCCTGTTTTGAACACTTTTTGGCGCGTCGCCGCGGCTTGTTTTTGTTGGCCTGCGCACGAAAAAGCCACCCCCGGCCCGCCCAGAGGGACGTCCAGAAAATGTGCTTTTTTGGGGGTTCCATATTCAGGGGACATTCGCAAAACCCACAGTTTCGGCAGGCCCTATGAATAGTGGAAGCGGGGGCCGGGGGGGCCCAAGACGGCTAGAAAAAGACACCAAAATCGTCAAAGCGTGGCCTTGGAGGCCCTGATGGCCCCAAGGGGCCGCGATATTCCCCCAAGAAGGCGCCATATGGCTTCAATGGTTTCCAAGCCGCTCTTGGGGGCTTTCGGAGCCTGTATGCGTGCTTATGGGGGCCTTCTGGTGGGCTTCTTGGGGCCTTATGGGGCCATGCCGGGGGCCTTATGGGGCCCTCTTGGGGGCTTCTGGGGGCCTCATGGGGCCATCTTGGGGGCATGTGGGGGGCCTTTCGGGAATATTATGGCCTTTGGGGGTGGTTTGGGCCCCTGTCCAGCGACTTGTGTCGTGCCGAGCCAGAGTGATTTGCTCATCAGATGATTTTGCAATGCGTCAAAAGCTTTATTCATCGCCGAAGTGGGGTGTTGTGTTTGTAGTTGGGTTGTTATTGTTCGAGAAACCCCCCTCGTGTGTCGCCGTTGGAAGCGTTATTTATCGTTCCAGGGGGGTGAGTTAGTGTTAGTCAGGTTTTTCATTCGTCACGGCTGAGGGAAGGTTGAGTGTTTCGCGATTTATTTTTATTATTCAAGCCTGCTGAGACCAGGGTCCAGCGTTGTATTGCCGGGCGTGATATTGCAGGACATGACGTCGAAGGCGGCAAGAACGTCCTGCGAGAGAAAGATGGCCGACGCCAGGCTCGCGCGCCAACGAGAGGCCTGACCCGCAAAGCTTGCTTGGCAGTCACGGCGCTCATCACTCCAGTCAACGGGGCCTTCAAGGAT